GCCACTTCGCTTGGGGGTTCCCATACCAACAAGACTTCCTACAGTTAATAGAAAGAGGAAGAATGCGAGAGAAGAGAGGATGGACGTCGTCTGTGTGGTGTTTCTTCCTAGAGTTTGATCTGTTTGGAGCTGTCAATCTGTAATTGAAGCTTTTCCGGGGATAAAGAGGGATTATAGGTCCCGGAAATCGTTGCGTATTCCTAGTGGGAATCGCAGCGTGGTCTGTTAACCTCACTTTGTGGTAATAAAATCTTCCTTCTCCGTGTTATTTTCTTCTCGCTGATATTATCCCGCCTGTTCAATGAATGGGACGTGCAACCCCCAGTCCCCCCTACTTACCCTTCCACCTCTATCTCTCTCTCACACCATCTATCTCTTTTTACTCCCTCACACAAAAGGACATATATATATGTACATTACATGCTCTCTCTCTCGCCCTCTCTCTCTTTCTGCCACCGGCATTTCTCTCTTTTCCTTCCCTCGTTACATCCCCCCTTTCTCTCCCTCGCTTCCTGTCGCCCCCCCATTTCTCTCTTTTCTTTCCCTCGCTACACCCACCTTTCTCTCTCTCGCTCCTGTCAACCCCGTATGTCTCTCTTTTCTTTCTCTCGCTACACCCCACCTTTCTCTCTCTCGCTTCCTGTCGGCCCCGCATTTCTCACTTCTCTTGCCCTCGCTGCCTCTCTCTCTCTCTCTCTCTCTCTCTTCTCTCTCTCCATGTCCCAATCCGCCCACTCACACAGACGTATGAATGTGGTTACTGTACGTCTAAACATATCTGCTCTTTCTTCTTCACGCCTATCGCTTCTCATCTATCTCTCCGCATCTTTATAGATGCGTATGCTGTCTCTCTCTACCTCGCTTCCTGCGTCCGCTCTTCTCCCTCTCTCTCTCTCCCTCGCGGCTCACCGCCTGAGTCTGCTCGACTGCATAAACGGGCTCCATGACAAGTTCCTGCCTGCACACCCATGCGCAGGCCGCACGTAGGAACAGAGATGCCCAACTGTACACGTGCGGGAGTACATGTTGGCGCACAAGCGAGATAAGAGACCTCCACTCCGCACGTTCGGTCGATTGGGGAGAGCCACACGAGAGTGGGTGGCCAGTACATACCGTAGCCCACCCACGAAGCGTGCGGCGACATGAAAGCCAGTCGGAGCAGCCCTCGCTGTGTAAGAGTTGACGTGTCGAAGGAAAACAAGCATCCACGTGGTTTGTTACCCGTCTCCATCTTGATAATAAAGCACCAGAGGCGTGCCACGTATGCACTCTATGAAATTATTCTCTTAGTATATATTATCGACAGATATTTATGCACACATCTTCTAGTTTTAATTATATATAGTACTTATCAAAATATTGTCATAGAAGAATACGATCCGTATTTATGCCCTTGCAAATGTAGATAGTTGATAATGATTTTAATCGTTCATTATTACCCAGTTTCACTGTGGTTTTTGTGCACTTTAGGATGGCTCCTATATTTCCTTAAAATAGTTAGGACTAATCTCATTTTCAAACTTTCTCTCTCACCAGTTTTGTTACAAACATTTTCAAAAAGCATTATGGAAAGTTTTTACCTATACATGATTGTCTCGAGATTGCAGCTGGATCAGAAGCCACAAACTTTTAGATTGGCTAATGGCTGGAGGAGATGCTAGCAACAAGGTTACAGGTTTTATCATCTTTCTATAATTGTGTTACAATCCTTCTACTTGGTTGAATGGGCTTTCTAACATTATTAATTCTGTCATGTAATTGAATTATAGAAAGAAAGAAATGACAAACAAGGCTTATTAGTTGATAGTAGATTATTCGTTTGAGTATGACAACACATGAGAATAGAGAAAGATGCAAACGAAAATAAGTAGCTTATAATGGTTTTGTAGTTCACACATCCACTCATTCCAAGAGCACTGTTAATACCCTTACACTTATAATTCTATTTGACTGATCAATTAGTACTCAGGTCACCACTTAAATAACAATTGTGAAATGACAAGTTTACTAAAACAAAGTTAAAGAATGAAGCTATAAATATAACATCTTTATTGATGCTTCCATAAAGATAAAATAATATGACTTCAAAAATTAACTAGAAGACTTCAATTAATTTTTAATTCCTAGTGATGCAAATTGGCAACAAAAAACTTCTAATCTATAAGAACATTGAATGAGTTGGTGACTTTTTCAATGTGGATTTTTTAAAACAATCTGATTATGATGTGGAAAATAGACATAAGGGTAGAATAAACATTTTCTATTGATGTAATTATGATGCATGAATATAAAAGTACTAACATTACATTTTTTTACTAGTCTGATCATTACAAAAAGTCAAATCAAAGTTAGAGAATGAATGCATATTTTCTTCTTTAAGGAAAGTGATTTTCCTCAGCACATTTCTCACATTGTCAGAATTCCATGAAGAACTATTGAATTCCCATAATACATAATAATAAAATAATCTGAACATATTATTATTATATTTTGAAATTAATAAATTATCCATCTATAGATATAGTGGTCTTGAAAATAGTTTAGGCTCCTAAACCTAAGAATTTTAACTCTTTTAAAGTTTGATAAATGAAAAATCAAACATTTATAAAAGAGTAACCACCATTTTTTTTTGTGCTTCAAGTTTGAGTGTTTACCTTTTTACATCAACTTTAGGTGTATACCCTTAAGGCTCTGATGGACGCTTGTTATTGTGATGAAATACATCAAATTCTAAATTTATAAAACTGATTTGATTTAGGACGATTTAATTATTTCAGTTGTGAGATCAGTTTGAACACAAAGATGAAGGTAAATCCATCTTGAGAAATCCTAATTACTTCTTAAAACCACTATGAAAAGAGTGAAGAGATAGAGATAAAGACAAGAATTAGAAGACGGTGAGTTGACAAAGACTTGCAAGGAAATTCACTCCGGTTGCAGGGTAAACTCCTTAGGTGGTTGAGTTTATAGATCCTAATGTGCATAAATTGAAATCAAAGCAGGAAATCTCCCTCTTTGACACCTGGGGAGTATGGTGGCAAGATGTGGCTTGCAATATGATACTTGGTCCCACCTCCTCAGTGCACCACACTAAGTTGAGAAGATGCCTTGGTGTATCTCCTTTAACACTAGAGATGTAGAGACTTGATGAATTTCGTTGTCTATCACCTAAGGAAGAAGGATGTGCCATATGGCACTGGGGATGAGAAGCCTTGGTAAATCCCTTCCACTATGTGACTCAGTAGGGAAGGGGGAGAGAGAATTGTTCCCTTTTGGCTACAAGGAAGAGGAAACTTGATGAATGACTATCATCTATCACCCAGTGGGAAGAGGAAAATGGGGTTTCCTGCAAAAAAGGTAATTCTTATTTATAGTAATTGTTTAAACAACCATCAGTTGATCATGTGCGAATTAGTGCATCATGAGCAATTTTTGGTGCAAGTTGGAATTTTTAGTATGTTTTCAGCGCTGAAAGAAGTTATTATGCACAATAAAAATGCTAATTCAAACCACGTCACATGTTACCTTATTATCCAATTAGACTCCTTAGCTACAAAATATTGTCTTTCAATCATATCAAATGCTGCCATTAATTGGTTAAGGATTTCTAGAATTTTAATAGTTTAATGTGTCATGCAAGAAGAAAAAAAAAGTTCAAGTGCCTCCCCTCAGATGATGATTTTTGTCTCCTGATTATGCACGCCAAATCTCAAATTAACTAGCTTTCTTGAATAGAAAAGATAATCAAAGTGATCAAGAATTCAATCAATCCTGCTAGGTTTTTTATTAACATGTTTTTGTAAGAAGAACTTGCCATAAGAAGCTTAATCTCATATAATTCTTGGATATAAGTTAATTATTTTAATTTCTGAGATTTTTTACAGATTAATGAAGTTTATAGAAACTGTTTACAAAAGGAATTTCTAAGCAAGATCAAGTATTCTAAAACATCACGAAGTTCATCCAGAAAATAACCGTAAAAATTATGCTTAATTTTTTTATTGAAGTTTGGAAGTATTTGAGTTGTCTCACATTGTCTTACTGGTGGGACTTGGAATTTGACAAAGTCTGGGTATTGTCTCACAGCCTCTCATTGAGGCGAGATATCAAAATTCTGAAAAAAGTGACATAAATTCTAGAAAAATCAAAAGAAATCCCTTTCAAAAATACACTTACTTTCTATGCAAAAAATTTAATTAAGACCATCATGACATGCATATGAAATAGGTATCCTATCAAAGTAATCCATAAAAGAATGATTGCAAAAAAAAAATGCTTTAAACATGGCTTTACTTATATGATTTGAACTGTTTTGTATAAAATGGATACCTTTGTTAGCATTCAAGCTGGGATTTTATTAACAAATATAAATGCAGCTTTTAGTTCCAACTCAGCTAAATGTGTTGATGAGGGAATTTAGTTCAGATATAAATATAATTGTACATTTACAAAATATTTCTTGTTCACATAGGGTATTGGCTTTTTCCATATTCATATTGATAATATACAAAGATTCATACCATTAAACACAATATTGTTCTACTCAAAGACTTGTTTCAATTTTTGTATATTTCAACACTATTTCCTCTACTAGACAAGTGTATTTTCAAGAATAGTACTATGTACTAGAGATATATTATGAAGCAAGAGAAATCATTTGCCTAAGCTATAGTGTTTATGAGCTACCATTTTATGACATGAAACCATATTTCTTCACTTAGCCAATAGGTATTTGAGTACATAAGCCAAAAATCATATACTCAGAAATTCCTTTAATAATCCCTTTATTGTCTCATTCAATTTTTGACAACCTTGTATAGGTAGGGATGTACAGAGAAATATGTTAATTTGAATATTTTTGTCTTGTAAAGAAAAAATGATCATAAGTACATTATTGTCACACTAATGGTTGGGTAGACCTTTAAATTATTGGATCTAGTCCATTGACTATGATTATGATTTCTAGGGATAAATCTATAAAAATAATCATTTAGAAATAT